AAATGTCTGTAGACACCACATAAGCTTCTTTCCCACCTCATCTACCTTTCAAAAAAAAAAAAAAAAAAGAAAAAAGAAAAAACCCAAACCAAAAGCAACATAACAGTAATACACAGAACATTGCCTGAAGTTGCAAGGTCAGTGGTTGACCATACCATTAGAATGCGAGAATCTACTTGTTTTTGGGATCATCCCCAGGAGAAGTAAATTTAATGAATGGGGAAGAGGTTGATCCTCGGATGTGGTACTCTTTAAATGACTTCTAAAACCTATGGGGCCTTCAATACCAGGTTACATAGGGAATGGAGCAAATAAAGAGGCTCAATGTTCATTAAACAATTTAAACATTTCAATCAGGGTATCAGCTGGAGATCTGAGGAAGATCTGAGAGTCATAGTACCACAAAAGAATAGTAGAAAAAGCTTAAGTTTTCTTATACTATTTTTTTCTATTTGTAACTCAGACAGTCAAGTGCAGTTTATCTCTACAAGAAATATATACATGTCCAGATAGGTCCATCAATCTTAATTTCTTCAAATACAAAGTTAGCTTTCTTTATTCCAAAGTCCTGATCAAGTTGTATTATGCTGCTCCCTCACGTCATGAAGAAAACTATGACCAGCACTACATTTTTTTGTAAGCAAGTTTAGCTGCTGCTTGTATCCTTTTGAAAAGTAGTTGCTTCAACAGCAAGCTGAATCAAATTCCTTAAGAACTCCCTACAAAATCATTCAGGAACCCTCTTTTTTTTTTTTCCTCCACAAAAGGGCTGTTTTCATCTTGCCCTTGTTATCCTTTCCCTCACTCCCACCTCTAACACAATACATGACACAGCTTTATCTAGCACAAAAACAATGGTAACAAATATTCTGGTGGTAGCTTCATACAGCTATTGGGATATTACATAGAAGTCTCCTTAAGAATCAGCACAGTCAGCTCTGGAAAGCATAAGCAATACTTCACTGTTGTGTTCTGAAGCCTGAGGATAGGACACTTGTACTAAAAAAAACCCCAAGCCCAAATGAAAAAAAGTAGTAATAAAAAATTACAAAGAATTATAAACAGATATTAAGAATATGATGAATTAGAATCACTGAGCTTTTATGAACTGGAAACTGACTAAGAAATGCTGCCTGATTGCACTGTTATTTTCACCATGGTAAATAGTTAATGGTAGGATGCACCACAGCTGTAAACAGTAAAGACATTTTTTAGCAGATCATCTACTAGAAGGGAAAATAGTATGATAGTCAGTAACATTCAGTGTGAAGAAACACAGCTATTTTAATTAATATAGGTAAGACTGGAGAAGGCTTGAGAGCCTCAGTAACAGTAGGTAAATGAAGTAAGACGGTACATGCAATTTAAAATCCATCTCAACTTCATGGAGTTTTTTTGAAGCTCAAAGTGCTACTTTTATAGGGAAGATGTTAAATATAAACTCACTGGCAATGCAGGGTGAGAGGAAGGAAGAAGCTGACATAGCCTTACGGATACCTGTAGGAAAACCCACATTTGGCAAGGAGCAGTTTGACATGTCTGCTTTACTGGGACAAGTGGGGTAGCAGATAGTTCAGAAAGCTTTTATTGTTGATTATCTAACACTCACCTAACAGTACCCAACTGGAAAGTCCATTTACTATAGAATTCAAGGTAGCAGGTAAATTTTTGTAGTAAGGAGTATTTTTAAACAGGCTTCCTATCTATGGTATTTTTCTCCCCTCACAAAAACACCAGACAGCCCAAAACCATAGTCAAGGACACAGCAACTCACTTTGCATGTAACTGGACACCTCATAGCCACAGGTGGTAGTGGTAGTTATTCCCATCAGCACATGACAAAGCATAATAGTAGAAGCTCATTCTTTCGCTTTTAGCAACCAAAGGGACAACACACTCCTTAGCTTTCATCATAAGAATTCACTATGTTTTCTTTTTTTCCTCATAGCATTGTCTTATATCTATTCCAGAAGGATTTTCTTATGCATTTTTAACTCTCAGTGCCTATTATTTTTGGTAGTTTTTCATCTTCACAAGAAATTTAATCCACAACTAAAAAGTTACCGTATAACCTGCAGGTTACTCTACAATTCATTCTTGTCATTCTTCCAATTCTCCCCTCCTCCCTCTTGCACCTTTTCTTGGGTGTAGAGGAAACAATTGAAAGAAGAGCGTTTAAGAGTTGAATCTACCTGCAGAGCGAAGAAAACCTAGCCAGCAATAGAGAAATGACACCAAATGCTAAAGCACAGGCTATGGGTGAAAGTAAACTATACCAAGCCCTAATTCCATTACCTCTTCTTGTTTCAACCAACATGCATGCATAAGAACATCATAAAAGTAAAAGGTCTCAAAAATATAATATATGGCTTCCAAAATAGTTCAAACACTGACAGAAAATGTAATTATTTACTGGGGACCATGTATGTGCTCTGAAAGTACCAGAGAGATCATTAGTTGACACTATTTTATAATTTAATAAAATAATCCTCCCCTGCAATCACAGATCTTGCAATGGTTTTGGAGAGACACCACAGTACAAATTCAGTGTGCCTCTAATACAGCTCTTTTCATCAAGATGTTGCATGGATGTATTTTGTAATTTAATTCTTTAGCACAATGAGTTACTGGAAACCTTGGTGCTTCTGTCAAAAAAAAAAAAACAACCCCAAAAACCCCAAACCAAAAAAACTTGAAGAACTAAACTTGTTTAATCATTACTGCACTGCTCATATCCTCCATTATTTCTTCAAGAAAGCTCCACAGCACATATTCAAATTCTACAGAACACAAACAAGTATTTATTTCTGTTGCTGGAGACACTATTTAGTAGACACATTCTCTGTGGTATTTCCAACACTAAAGGAGGTTGAATATCTACCCTATATATATCAAATAGAAATCACATGCTAAATCGTGTCAGAAATTTGATTTTTGTGCAATTAATATACAGGTCTTCAGCTCCTGCTCCAGAACCTCTGCTGCTCTTTTTCATGCCACTGGAACTAAGTATGTATTAGCAAGTAGTGTAGCCCAGCACAGGCAGATTTGTTGTATGGGTGCTGAGGACTCAACATTCCCACTATACACATCTAAAGGTGTAATCTTAAGGCTAGATTTAACCTGCTGCTGTGGCCCCAAGGCCTGTTAGCAGTTGGCACGCAATAGGCACGTTTCTGAAACACAGTTTCTATTTTCATTTCAGCCAGAAGAAACCCTGTGCAGTCTAAAAGCTTAGACAGTAAAAGATGATCAGGAAATTCACTTTACATAACCGCAAAGCTAAAGTAAGCCTACCCACCGAGTTCAGAGACAAAGACTACAGATAAGCAAATCCCTTGAAGCATTTACAGAATGATTGTTAGCTCCTCAGCACAGCTACTTCTCCAGAGCTGCTGCTGTTGTGCCACACTACTTGCTAACTATATGTATCTTGTCCTGGCTACCCCTGCTCACGTGCCAGATGTACACCTCTGTAGCTCCAGCCTGCACCGCTCTATGCTGTCACGCACCAGTGTGGTGCTCACACACGCTTCCCGGCACAGTGCCACACCGTGCCAGCCTCCGTCCTCTACTGGGCTGCAACTCACCCGCTGCCTGCGCCCACCTCAGCAGCTGCCAGCCACCTGGACAGGCACCCACACACCGTGGGCAGAGGTGCTGCAGGGCCTGGGAGAAGTAGCCTGTCCCTGCCAGTACTGAAAGGATTGCTTTCAGCCTTGTTTTTAAACAAGTCTGGGGGTACAGGAACAAACTAAGGCCATCTTTCCTTCCACCAAAATAAATACAGGTTCCTAGACTCTCCCAGAACTCGGGTTACTGTCAAATCTGTTTTGTCACTGGAATACAAAAATATCCAGAAATATTCTACACCCACAGGTGTGAGTGCCCATTTCTTTTTTATTACTATTTTTATTTATTGCCCTCTTAATTCTACCCCTTGAACCTCAGAAGCAGAGGATATCCACAGTCCTTTGATGTTTGAAGGGGGCATACATTTTAAAATGTTTTAGAAACAGACACATCTAAAGAACTTGGTTCCAGCTATGTCTCAAATCCACCTTTAACTTAACCCAATTCAGGAGTCAAAGCTGCCAATTCATCTAAAAATGATACAGGTAAATGGCAGTACTTCAAATATATACTTCCAACTATTCATTTTGTATAATGAGAATAACATAAAAAATAAAAACCTGAACTTAACTACATTGCCCCAAATCCCAGTTACACTGCAAACAGCCTGCTTATAATTCTTTGTGTGACCGTATTCCTTTAGCAAACAGATACTTAGTTTTATTCTAGCACTTATATTAACCATAGATCCTTAAAAGAAAAAAAAAATCCTATGAATTGAGGCACTCAGGATGTTTTTTAAAGAACAGTTCAACAAAAAGATATTCCCTCTACAATATGTCATTGTATCATCTCTTTCCAATCTGTTTCACAATTCTGCTTTAAGAGTTTATAGCATACTAGCCAGGATTACTCCATTTTGTAGCTTCCCAGATACCACTATAAGAAACAGCAGCAGAAAGTTGGACTTCTGTTTCTGTGACATCAGGTGAGGGAGATCTCACCTGGGAAAATCTTTTGCTAGCATAGGGAAGGAAATGATAAAGGCCCTTTCTCTCTGTACAACCACCTAACACCATTAACCACCAGTTATCACTCCTTGATTTTGTGCCTAATAGTAGCTACCGATTAAATGTAAATGTAAGAATTTTAGTTTCTACCAGCTGGTAAGGATCCCCAACGCAAGTGTCAAACGCAAACGACATGTTACATACTGCGTGACACGGCACTGTCATTCCTTTCCCTAGCTGAAGATACACTGCTGTGCCCCAAGGTGGAGAATCAGATTACCAATATAGTAATCTGATTGGCGTACTGCCTTTATGAAAAGAACCTACCCAATATACCTTTATAAGAGTTACACTGTCATGTACTTTATTCAATAATTTAGTTTTCAAATGACATAACTGACATTAAGCAATATTTACCTGCTTCTTCTTTAATAAATGACAAATCTTCTTCTGGATACGGGACTGACGGTTGCAACACTGAGCAATCTTCCGAGTTCTCTTCAGTATTAGGTGGTATATTATAAATAAATCTCTTTGCAGTTTGGTTTTTCCTTCTTGCTTTTCCAGGCTCTTGAACTGATTGTCCCTGCGCACCCATGTCATTCCATACAAAAACTTTTCCCTCACCTTGAGATTCATTTTCAGCCATTTCAGGTGAGCTGTCCTGGACCCAACTGCAGTCATTCATTTGATAGCTTTCCATTTGGCCCTCATCAATAGAGTAACCATCGTTCTCAGTTTTTATGCTACTTGCCAAGTTGGTGAGGTTTCGTGTTGCCCAGAAGCTGGCAACTTTCTGATCCCTTGGAGACAAACCATCCCTACTAACAGATCTTCTGTTGTAATCCACGACAACGGTCTCTGGAGCTTCTGATTTTATACTTATGTTTAAGGCATCTTTAATGAAGTTGCGGCAGGACTGGACAACCTCCGTCATCTGAAGGTAGCTGGCCACTGACATCACTTCAATGGCATTTTGGCTCGTAAGCACGAGGTTACCAGAATATAAGAAGTCCAAGATGACAGAAAAACCTTGAACAGCAACAACGTCTAAATAGGTAACAGTGGTTTGGTTACGGCTTTCTTTGTTTGTAAAGCAATACAGAGTCTTAAAGAAGCGGCTGCCTGCAACCAAGATGTTCTTGTGAGCTCTGAAGACCCTCCCACTCACCACAATATTAACATCACAAAGAATGCCTTTCTTCCTCTGCTCATTGAGCTCTTGCAGGAGCTGATAGCAGTAAGAGTTCTCATTTGGCCTGCTGTTAAAATCACAGTATCCTTCATTATTCAGTTCTGATGGTAACTCTGACTCCTGCAATTAAAAAAAAAACACACAACCATAATTAGCTCTTAATGAACGCTCTCCTTAGTCATCCAACACTATAATAAGGATACAAAAATAAACTTAAGATAATGTTATTCAAAGAATCTTTTTTTTTTTGTTTGATGTTATTGGTCATAAGGCTGGCTGGAATATATAATTTAAAAAAATATTATTGAAAACTAAGAATCCCCATCTCAGTCTGCACCCTCCGCCCCCAAATCTGGAACAAAACCAGAATGAGCAGAATTGCCTTGAGGACAAAGGAAGTGAAATTTTGGCCAAAAGTAAGGAAAGATTTAGCTGAGTGTGAAGTACATGTTTTTCTTAACCTACATGCATTAGAGATTCAGGAGTCTCTCATTCCAAAGATTTAACTAGATGGTTCTCACATATCCAACACCCTGTTCTTCCCTAGAAATCTCCACTTAAATGGGTAAGTAGAACCCTGATAACTGATTCAACATTTTTATGCTGAGATATGAATACATGAAAATTAGGTCTGTATCTCCCAATATGTCTGTCTTGTATGTTTTAAAGAAGTAATATTACTCAAGTAGTTATAATAGCAGGTATATTTCTTATACAGTTCTACAAATCAGGCATTTATTCTTTATTTTCTAATGGTGGCAGGCTTTGGATTAAGTAGCTGTATTACATGACAAGCAGACAGAATATTGCAGGTGACTAAACAAAACTGAAACTTCCATTACATTATTTAATCAAGACTTTCTTGAATCAAGTTTCACTGCAACTTTCCAGCAGCAACACCTTTAACTGGTACATACTTACTATACAGACAGTATGCACTTATCTCTCTCTAGAACCTTTTTTAAGATGTGACCTCAAATGTGGCTTGAAAATTTTGCTACAAGTAGTATCAGGCAATCCAACACCAAGAAATTAGTTGTCATTAAAGATTAGTACAGACAGCGAGAGGCTGATACAAAAAGAGAGAGCTGAACTAGATTTTAAAGCATTTAGGAAAATTTATAACTGATGTTTAGACAATGATGATTCAGAGCTGATACAAAGCAGCAGCGAGAAGAAAGCAGAAAACAACAGACTGGCATATTTGAGACCATACTTATATTGATTGACATGTGCTGCCATCAAGAGCAGCAATGATGACAGAGTCTGTTTTATACTGACTGTCTAAGACTCTCTTCTTCCCTAGCAAATAAGGGCAGTTCAAAACCAGCTGGCTTCAATATGGTTTAGGATGAGAGAAGATCAGATTTTGCAGACGATGTCATCATCTCCTCCTCTCATTTTCTAAAACAACTCACAGATTTGGGGGCTAGAGGTATCTTTAAAGCTTGACTGCCTCAACATTACAGGTCAAAATCAGCATTAACAAGGTAATGTTAATGCTGTCTTGAGCCCATAATCTATACTGGGCTAAATATATGTTGCAGAAAAGTAGTAGCCTTAATTTGGGACTATGGGGGAAACCAGCTATATAAAAAAAAAGTTACTTTACACCACACAGGAATTAGTGCATTAAATCAGTACTCACCTCAAGTTATAATCCCAGTGTGGATCACTGGGATGACAACTGAGGCTGTAACTAGATCCTCTAAAATGGTATTTACATCTACAAGCAGCAAATAAATCTCTACCCTTCTCAGGAAAACGTTTCAGCGAAAAAAAAAAAAAAAGAGATAGAAATAAAAGCAGTTAGGCTCTTATGTGAAAGTAAGCAACAGATTTTTGTCCAACCCTGGCTTAATTTTTTCTGCATGCTCTCTGACATACCCAAGTACTGCCTCAGATCAGAGCTCTGAAACACAAAGTATGTCCAAAATGGGTGACAACTAAGTCTATCATTCTTTAAGTTCTCAGTGGATTTCGGATCTGGATTAGCTTTCCGTCACTCCAGCAATGGAGCACTGTGCAGTTTCAAAACACCAATTACATTGACTTTGGATCAGATTAAGATGAAAATTATCGTACCCTAAAGTGTTGTCATGCCAGTCAAAGTCAATCATCAGTGACTTGCATCTCACACAGTGTTAGGTAGCTCCTATGACAGCAGACAATTTCACTCTCCGAAAACACGTTAAACACCACGTAAGATTTAAAAATAATCTGCATCGGTTCTTTTCTTTTTACAAATGTCTGATTAAAGAATGGCGATAGAGTACATTTTAACTGAGCACGTGTACGGATCCAATCAAGCCAATAAAAAAGAAATCAAGATTTACAATTTTTTTTTTCTTCCTAAGAAAATGACAAGCCAGCATGGTAAAAAGGAGCTGCAGATCACAAATGTGCTACACAAACGTAAGACTGAAGTCTTCATTATGAAAAGACGAGAAGGCTGAGTGAAAAGAGACATCATGCAATTAATGTCCAAGCTACAGGGGTGTGTTTTGGTGGAAAGAGATCAATATTACAGCCTTATAGAAACGGGGAAATAAATATTTTTAAAACTAACTGTAATATTGGAAACAACTGTTTAACTGCTGCTGTGGAAGTAGCTAACCTTAATGCCACACCTCAAATGAAATGAAAGCCCTGACATCTGAACAGTTGTAAAGGCTATGTAAACCAAGTATGACAAGTCAAATTAACATTTAATATGAAAAAAAATTCCTATCCTTTGGAGAGTTCTATCTGTACAAAGGGGAGATGTTTAAAGTAGAATACCATTCAATAGGAGGTAAGATGCAGATAATAATTAACTACAGAAAATAAGAAAGTATATTTTCAAGCTTCTGGTACTTATGTTGTGCTCATGGCACACCATCGTAACATGTTTTCATGAGATAAAAAGACATGACCATGTTTTCATAGAGATGCTCAAAATTACTACTATGATAAATTTTCACCACACTTGTACAGACCTGTATTTCTGATGAAAACCACAAACTAATGATATTTGCTTAGATGTCAATTATATTTTCAGAATACACACCAAATATTCCCATCACCTAAGTTATCTCAACATCAAACCACTTTATTCTCGATTTCTTATCAGCTTTAATAAAAGGATAAAGATCAGACTATTTCAGTTTTATTTGTGGAATCTACGGCATTGTAAGTCTGAAAAGCTTCTCTCTGTAGGTGAGATTAAGAAGTGACCTAACAGAACAGAGACTGCTCAAGGAAACTAATGTTGTGCTCAGTTTTGATTAGACTCATCTGAATACACCCAAAGATAAATGACTATTTCATAGGTATAACTCACTAATTAAACTTGCCTAAAAGCTAATAGGAGCAGAAACAGATGATCACAAACTGCTACTAGAACCTTGCTTTTCTTTCTCCTCCTGTGCCATCAGCATCCTCTGTCTCCTGGGAGCAAGAAGAGTGACGGGGGGGGTAAGAAGAAAAGAAAAAAAGAAATAAAACCAAAAAATCAATCTAACCATAGATTCCTTCTCAGCTGTATGCATATGAAAAGTAGTTATGCCACATTTTTGTAATCCCTTCCCCATTACCACACCTTACTCTACAAGAGTTTCCCTATGTTTCTTATCCTGAAAAAATGGAGCCTCTAACAAAAGTGAGCTATCAGGAACTTCTTAAGCACATGCAGCTACTGAGGTAAATTATCTCAAGAGACGGTCCTATCAGTTGCACATACGATGCTCTGCTGCAGTTTTACATGCCATAGCATCGTTCACAGAAAACTCAGCAATTTAGAACTGTTTCATTAAGTGCCTAACATCCAATTGAGTGGTTCGAGGTCCGGTAAAGACACTATATAAAAAAAAATAGTAAATGATAGTCCTTACTCTGAAGGCCTGACTTCCTCCTCAACTTTTTTGCTCTGCTAAGAGTAATTCAAGAAGTTAAGTCAGACCACTATAATGTAAGTCTTACATCTGAAGAACGACTTCTATTCATCACTGCTCACACAAAGCAAACAATTACAGTTCACATGGAAAAAATAACACATCAAAGGCCTTCCTCCTTTTGGAGAGCTTCTGCTTTAAACCAACATGCCTTTTAGGCTGGAGAAAGCTTTTCTGGCAGTATTTCCAAAGATCAGCTTCAAATTATGTCCAGAGAGAAAATGTTTTAAGAAGCAGCTTTGAGGGGAGGAACCCCCAGCAGCCAATAAATCTGCATCTCATGGATCTAAATTCATCACAGAATTAAATTCTTTTACATTGCTTTCCCAGTGTCTATTTCTTAAGATTTTTGCAACACAATAGTCTATTTATTAAAAAAAAAAACAAATGTAGTTTCAAGCTGATTATATCTTTCCTTAAGCTTTAATATGGAGACATTATTTTAAAAGCTAAAATAGAAAATAAAAAAAAAAGGAGTCAAGATTTTTGTCTTAGAAAGAAGCACCAACTGACAGCTCAATACCCTTGAATTACAGCAGCTGCAACCACTTGTGATGTATTTTGGCATTCCAAATTAAATGTATCCCAAAAATAAACTGAAATCACCACTCATTTCTTCACGAGTGTAATATCCAACAGACCTATAGAAATTTCTACTACTTTACTGTCTTAACACCTACAATTTCCTTTTCGCACTTGAACAGCGGCACTATGCCATATGTTTATTAGCAGCTGCTAAACATGCCCTGCAGTTGAAGCTTGTCAAGTCAAGAATACATGTGTGTTGTCTCTATGACAAAGGCTGAAAGATCTCTCCCAAGTTTCATTAAATCTAAACGTCTTTGCTGCCTCATTATGTATGTTGGAAATATGGTCAGAGTACAAATTACCTACTTTTGTTCCAAGTATCTGCTATCATGGCATTAAGGAAAAAATGGGGCTATTGTTTTGGTATTAATTTAAACATATGTATCAAGAGACATTCAAGTGCTATTAAAAGTGTGAAAGGATATGCAAATTAAACATAGAAGCAGAAAGAAAACAGATTCTTAATCAGATTTTCAATAAAGCAAGTGTAACCCAAAAGTGCACCACAACGAAAACTACATTGACTCTTGAAAAACTGCAATTCCTTTCCTTGTGAGAAGTTTTTAATTGAAATGTAATTGCACAGGGACACATCCAGCACTGTTTTCCCCTTAAAAACACCAATCTCTGTATGGCTACCTTATAGAAGCTTACTTTGTCCAAATCTTATCTTTAATATAGTATAAAAGAACCACAGATGCATCTCATCTATCCTACTGTTTCATTTATTAGTATAGTTACTACAATTTTTTTTTTCTTAAACTATCTGTGGTATAAAAGCAGAGGCTCAATTTTATAAAGATTCCCATAACAATGAAAGGTTAAACTTCAAATAAAACAGACATTATCTTTTAGGCTACTGTGCCATGAAAGCCAATATTCTGTCCCCCCCTTTCACCCTCCCAGTATTTAATAGTCTTCCATCAGACTGGGTATAGGAAGACAGAAAGAAAAAACTAGAAAGTTTAGTAGGAAAAGCTTCTTGGCATACGTTTTATTTATACATAGCTTAATGGGAGTGAGAGAAAATTCCAAGTGTGGCATGAATTAGCAACCTCTGTTGACACAGCAGGCTACACAGTGACAAGACATACCTTTAAAGGGTAATCATTCACAGATCAGAAACAAAATGGTAAGGAATATACTGCAATAACATTAAGCAAAAATAACATTTTCAAAGATATAAGGAGGTAAAAGAAATTAAGAATGAAAGTTTCAAAATGAGAAAGAAGTTATTTAAGGCAAGTTAGGCTAAAATACTGCAGAGTGAATAGCAAGTCCCAGATTGGAAGCAACTGATAAGATGACCTACTGCCATGAAATGTCTGTAACAGTAGCTGCCTTAGAAATATACTTACTGAACATGTAGTAGTATTATTCACACTGCAGGTGAACATTGCATTTATGAATCCAAACATAGTATTTTGGATAACTGGTATTTAGGCAATTTCCTTGCAATCGTACAGTAGTTTCACGTAAAGCTTGCATTCATTTTCCAACTAGCTCCAAGAAAACCTACATTCACCTCACATTTTATCTGTCATCCTGATATCCTATCCAAACATCAGAATAGCAGCTCTTGTCCAAGGTACCCTGAGCTCCTCAAAGCACTCAAGCAGCAAGCTCAATTTAACGATTGCACTACAATTCAGACTCCAGAAACACAGAACCAAAGTGGGTATTTTAGCTGAAACTGAGCTCTAAGTAGTGAAAAACAGAGTGATCGGGGGTTAATTCCAGCTAACAGCTCAAGTTCACCCTAACAGTTCAAGTACTAGCCTAACCTGAAGCACATTCGCTTGTGCCCGCTAGCAAGTTTAACGCCAACTAGGCGATCCGTGAACTTTTGCAGCGCAGACATCCTTAGGAGGAAAGGCTGCAGAATGCTGGTGATTCAACACGAGTATTCTTTCGCAGCTTTTCATCCACATATGTTCTAGAGTTAGCCCTGCCTTATTCGTAAGAGCAGCCAAGAAACACGATGATTTTAAGTTCAGCGGGGAACATGAGAGTTTCACTAGTCCTAAAGCATTAGAGGAGAGCTGGCTTTCAGGAAACCACATGTTTATCTCAAACACACACCAAGCAATTGCAGACTTCTTGCTCAGTAACTTAATCTAAAGCAACACAATCGGGAAAAAGATTTAAACGAGAAAGTCTTGACTACACAGAATTATCCGATTAACGCACAGGGACCATACCATTAAGAACGGCAGAGTAATGTTAATTTCACGCTGGCAAGTACCAGTTTCACACGCAATCGTTAGCCGGACACTACCCTCCCCTTCTACGGTACCGCAGGAGGAAGTTGTAACGACTGTTTTTAAATCAGTGCTGCAACACTGGTATTCATACGCAACTTTTTCCCACATTGCCGGTTTATCTTCACGAGATAAACAGATAAACTAATGAAAACGGTACTCGCTACCTCCGAATAAGTAACGTTAGCCAGCTACAGCTATAAACTATAGTTTATGGAAACGCTCCCGGGCTGCACAAGGGCAGCGCTGACAGCGCCGTGCCTGCCCAGATCCAGCGGGACAGTCACCCCACATCGCAAAGCGGACCAGTCTCCCGCTCCGGAGACGCGGCGTGCGAGAGCAGCACAGCGTGCCCAGCCCGCGGGACAATAACAAACGCGGCAAGCCGTTTAAATAAACTTCACACACGTGGCCA